TTCTAACTAAAAATCCAAATGATGTGATTCCAATGTCATTGGAAAACTAACTCAAAGATGTTTCTCTTTTTAATGGATGCCGATCCGTTTTGATGATAGTACAAAGTGGCGAGCCGTTTCGACGAAGAGATGATGTTGTCACTTGTTAGGCGATTATCTTGGCGATATGTTGATGAAGGGATGGTGTGAATCCATTGATGAAGAGATCTTTTGACAAGAATGTAAGTTTGATTGAAACAATGGTGAACCATTTGTTCGTTTTTTGCTAGACGATAATGACGAGCCGTTTATCGGAGAATATGGGTCATCATCTTTGATAATGAATATTCGATGTTAAGGCTGACGAGCCGTTCAATGTATTTAAGACCAAACATTTTGGTTTACCGACGTACTCCCTTAAATACGCCAGCTCCAACAATGAATTTGAAATGTTTAAGACCAACACTTCGTTTTGCTGGGTTTTCGATGAGGTTTACAGACTTGCTGCTGTGAGCATGTTTGCTCTAGTAAAGGATGCAAAGACTGACGATCATTCCAGTTTACAAGCCTGTTGCCGCGAACAAACTCGCTCCGGTAATGAGCACTTAAGAGTTTTTTTACTAGAGAACCATGTGGGTTTTTTTTTTAGATGAACATTCTGGTTTACGAATATTTTCCCGTGAACAAGTCAGTTCCAGCATTGAATACAAAAATTTTGACCAGCATGTCGTGTGCTGGATTTTTTAGATGAATATTCTGGTTTACGAATATGTTCCCGTGAACAAGTCTGCTCCTGCAATGAAAACACATTTTTTTACCAACGAACCGTGTGCTGGGTTTTTGAGATGAACATTCTGGTTTACGAATTTGTTCCCGTGAACAAGTCCGATCCAGCAATGAACACATAATTTATATAGCGCACTTTAATCTGCTGGGGATGTAGAGTTTGTCACTGAGGCCAACAGCAACGAGATAACAAAGAGAACAAGTTTGTTTCTGAAAAGACTTTAAAAATCCGCAAATGATGTTTTACAGAGATAGTCTGTTTCGTTAAGACTTGAATAATCCACGAAATATGTTTAGCGAAGTCGTCTGTTTTGTTAAGACTTGGTGGACTAAAAATTCCCCTTGATTATTGCTAGAATTTTCACAAATATTGGATTA